CTACTCTTAAGTTGCTGAGGATGGTAACCCAGATCTTGAGGGTAGAAATAATGCAACCAAATGTGTCTTCATGCATAGGCGTGCCTTCCTCAACTCCATGAGTTAAGCTAAGCTCACCTGTTCCTTTGTGATTTTTACCCCTTACCCTGTTTGGGATAGAATGTTCCAGGGAGATGCCCTTTGTGTGTCCCCTTTTCTTACTCTGCCCTTGGGTGTGGCCTTCCTAGATGTCAGTCAGCCTGCTGATAGCAGACATCATAAAGCTAGACTCAGCCCCTTGAAACCTGACCTCTTGCCTCATTTGAATGGCTTCTGCTCAATAAAAGGGGTCAGCTTGTGCTCACCTGCTTTCTCTCTCTTTCCATGGACCCTTAAGGTCAAAGGAGCTATCACAGCACCCCCAAAGAAAAAGGTATTTCTGTCTCTTGTGTGGTTATTTTGCACAGCCCAGTTCCCCTGGAGTAACCCTGAGTGTTTTAGTTAAGAGCAAGCAATGCGACAACTACATACTAAACTTTAATGTTTAAATACTATCTTTAATATTTGGTCCTGAGATATGTATTGAGATTTAGATCAAATAAAGTATGTTAAAATCTAAAGTTGGAAAGACTTACAACCTTAGACTTATACAGTTGTGCAATTTGAATAGAAAGACACTTTCCATAGCCAGAAATACTTTTGTGACCTAGGTTGTTCAGTATAACCTGGGTATCTTTGCTCCTACCTACCCTTYAGATCCAGTGCACGTGCCAATATTACTCTGTCAGGGAAGAAACGCAGAAAACTCCTGCAGCAGATCCGGCTTGCCCAGAAAGAGAAGGCAGCAATGGAAGGTGACACTAGGGCACAAAAGGAGGGAGAGGGGGAACATGGGTTTATTTAGCTCCTTAACTCTTTCTCTTTCCTTTTGCTCAGTGGAAGTCCCTTCAAAACCAGCCAGGACTAGTGATCCACAGCCCAAACGACAAAAGAAGATTAAACCCCCTCAGGATATAGACATGGAGAATCTTGAGGATGAGAGCTAAGGTTCTTATTTCTTCCACCAGATTTTCAACTGGAGCCAACAGGATTGTGGTTGTTCAGAGTTTTTTGGCGAAAGCGTTACCTGCTTTCACTCATCCCAGTTCCTCCTACATAATGGCTACTGACTTCTACTGGAGGGATATATTGGGAGGGAAGAGGGTATAAAAGAAAGATTTGAGGAGGGCCCAACTCCCATTTATGATTAATCCCTAGAGCTTTGACTGACGTGTGATAAAGTCTAAGGATGGAGGGTGGGTCATGAAAAGAGTTCTGTGGGTATGGATGGAGGCAGTCTACAAACAGAACCCACAGAGCTTGATTGAGCAAAAATAATGAGAAGTAGTCTCTGGCAACCTGGTTTCTTCTGTCTCTTTCCATTTCTGACAATAATAGAGATATTGTAGGAATGACAAGGGGTTAAAGATCCTGATCCCAATCTTGCCTTGGTGCCTGTGTGATCAGGATGGGCAAGTCACTTCATGTTTGTACTGTTTCCTTTGCTAGATTATGTTTTTAATAAAATAAATGCCAAACATATATATATATATATATATTTTTTTTTTTWTTTTTTTCCTTCTTCTTTATTTCCTTAAGCTAGTGCTAAGGAAAAAACCCAGAGCTTCACATGCCAGGCAAGTGCTCTCTACTGAGTTACATTCCCAGACCTGAGTAGCTGGGATCACAGGCCTGCATTAACTTTTAACACTGTGGGAAGCTGTGGTTGAGGTATTTAAAGAGAAAAGCTGCCTGTGCAGAAGAAGTGCATTCAACTGAAGAAAGGCTTGATTTTCTTCCCTTCCGTGTTTAGTCTGCATGGGGAGGGTTTAAGTCCATTGTTACCCTTTCCTCAGCTTTTTTTTTTTTTTTTTTTTGTAGTTGTAGATGGACAGTATGTCTATTTTATTGGTTTATTTTATGCAGTGCTAAAATAAATAAACCCACTGCCTCACACCTGTTAGGCAAGCATTSTGCCATCAAGCCACAGCCCCAGTTCCCCTCCCTCAGCTTTATAGTAAAGTTCAGAAGTATAATGAACCTTTGTATACCCTTTACTTAGATTGACTAGTTAACATTTTCCTACACTTATCTCTTTCTGTACAAATATATGTGTGTTGTCCTAGCTAAATGAAAATCATTTGAAAATCTAGTAAAGATTTTATCCCTAAGAACATTATTTTATACAGCCAAATACTATTACCACACCTATGATTTTTAAAGAATATATATCTATTTTTATATGATGTGGAGGATTGAACCCAGTGCCTCACATGTGTGAAGCAAGCACTCTACCGCTGAGCTATAACCCTAGCTCCTATGATTTTTAATATTCATAAAATAGCTAGTTTGGGGACTTGGTTGTGATTCAGCAGTAGAATGCTCGCCTAGTAAGTATGAGGCCCTAGTTTGATCCTCAGCAAATGGAAAAATAAAGGTATTGTGTCCAACTACAAATAAAAAAATAGCTAGTTTTTCATATTCAAATATCCTGTTCTCTCAATAACATTCTTTGTCATTTTTCTCCCCCGAAAATCCAGGAGCCAATCAAAGATGACATAGTGCATTTGTCATGTCTTTACTTTAATCCAGAAAAAGTACTCCCTTAGCTTGTCTTAGATGATAATTTTGAAGGGTACAACCTAATTTTATTTGAGAATATTCTACAATCTGTTTTTGTTTGAGTGTTTATGAATGTTTCATTGAATTTAGGATAAATAAATAATTTAGACAAAAATTACATAAATGATTTATATACTTACCTGTCATAATGTTAGTTTGTTTCATTAATGGTAACTCTAAGTTGCAAGGGAAAATAAACATACTCTTTGTAATTAATGTATGGATTACTTATTAATCCATAGGAATTAATSAGTATGAATATTTACCAATGGCATCACTCAGCGCTGTTAATATTCATGGTGATTACCTGGATTAGTTATTACTGTGTTGCAGAATAGTGATTTTCTAATTCTGTCATTTATTCGTAATATTCCTATAACAGTCTGCGGAGAAGAGCTCCTACCTTGCTTTTTAGAATTACTATGGATTTTTTTCAGTGTGTTTAACATTGATAATTATCATTTTTTTCATGGTCATTGTGCCAAAATTAGTCAGCACTAGCTTGTTCAATGTGGTCCCTGTGACCTTTTACACAATTACTGTATTTGAGCTCTTCCTTGCTTTCTGTTGCCAGGCTCACCTAGCATTTTCCTTTGTCAAGTTGTTTTTGTTTTGTTTTGTGGTGCTGGGAATGATGTTCAGGGCCTCACAAATGCTAGGCAAGTGCTCTACCACTGAGCTACATCTTCTGCCCTTCAGTTTTGAATACAGAAAGGAAAAATAGTTGTTTGAAACACTGGCAGGCATGGTGGCGCATGTCTGTGATCCTAGTGGCTTGCAAGATTCTGTCTCAAATAAAAAAGACTGAAGATGTAGCTGGGGATGTAGTTTAGTGGTGAAGTGCCTCTGGGTTCAATCCCCAGTACCTGCCCCCTAAGAAAAAACTGAACTGTATTCGGATGTAGTAACAAGAGAAGGGAGGGTACATCCATACTTAACACGTTTTTTCCCTCCCACTCTTTATATTCTTCTAACTCCTGTGCTTAGTGCCAAAAAGTAGCTTACTGTGTTCTTAGAACTGTCAACTCTAGTGTAGATTAGAGTGAAGTGATAAAAGGGGAGATGGAAAAAAAGATGAAGTTGTAGAGAGAGGCAAGGATCTTATAAGTCCTTTACAGAATTTCAATTTTTTTTCAAAGGCATAGAGGTTTATTTAGGAAAGTAGATACATATTCAAAGGAGACTGGAGGCAATTTTTTTTTTTTAAGAGGTCTTTGGGGATAAAGCAAGAATATACACTTGCCTGGTACCTTAATTCCAGCTACTCTGGAGGCTGAGGCAGGAAGGTTACAAAGTTCATAGGCCAATTACAACAACATTGAGACCCTAAGCAACTTATCTCAAAATAAAAAATAAAAACTGCTGAGGCTATAGCGTAATGGTAAAGCATATCTGGGTTCAATATATTAAAAAATAAGGGAGAATGTAGACAACCTGGAATTTTAATTTTAGTCTAAATAAAAAGGAATGTATTAAAGTTATTTTTTAAAAACAATGTTTTAGATGTTGATGGACTTATTCATTTATTTATCTGTGGTACTGAGAATCAAACCCAGTGTCTTACACTTGTGAAGCAAGCGTTCTACCATTGAGCCACAATTCCAGCCCCTTTAAAAAAAAAATTATTTTTTAGGTGTAGATGGACACAAGACAATGCCTTTTTTTTTTTTATGTGGTGCTGAGAATCGAACCTGGGTCCCGCATGCGCTAGGCGAGCGCTCAACCGCTGAGCCACAATCCCAGCCCTAAAATTGTTTTAAATTTGAATTTTTAGTATAAAAATTTCAAACAAAACCAGAGAAAAAAAATCACTCATCTCCCTGCTCTAATCTTCATCCATACCCTCTCTCTATATATATATATATTTTTTTTCAATTGTAGTTGGACACAGTACCTTTATTTATTCATTTTTATTTTTATTTGGTGCTGAGGATGAAACCCAGGACCTTGCACATGTTAGGTGAGCACTATACTGCTGAGCCACAACCCCTGCCCCCTCATCCRTATGCTTTTGCAAACATTCACCCCCACCCTTTGCAAGTACAGAAATTGAACTCTGGAAACTTCTACCACTGAGCCACATCCTCAATCCTTTTTATTTATTTTTTTTTTAATTTTGAGACAGAGTCTTGCTAGTTTGCCGAGGTTAGACTTGAATTTGTGATTTGTGATCCTCCTGCCTCAGCCTCCCAAATCACTGGGATTACAGGCCATGTACCACCACATCTGGCCTTCACCTTTTTTTTTTTTTGGTACTGGGGATTGAATTTAGGGTCACTCAACCACTGAGCCACATTGCCAGCCCTATTTTGTATTTTATTTAGAGACAGGGTTTTACTGAGTTGGTTAATGCCCCGCTTTTGAGAAAGCTGGTTTTGAACTCTTGATCTCCTGCTTCAGCCTCCTGAGCCACTGAGATTAAAGTCATGCACCACTGCTCCCGGCTCCTTTGTTTTTTTTTATAAAAAAATTATTTTCGAGACAGGGTCTTACTAAGTTGCTGAGGGCCTCTCTGAATTGCTGAAGATGGCTTCARACTTGCTGATCCTTAAAAAAATGTGGTATATATACACAATGGAATATTACTCAGCCTTAAAGAAGAATGAAATTATGGCATTTGTAGGTAAATGGATGGAACTAGAGAATATCATTCGAAGTGAAATAAGCCAATCCCAAAAAAAAACAAATCCCAAATATTCTCTCTGATAATCCATCAGAGATGCTGATCCATAGTGGGGGGTTGGGAAGAATAAAGGAATTTTGGTTTGTGTAAAGGGGAGTGAGAGGAGGTGAAGTCGTGGGGATGGGAAGGACAGTAGAATAGGACATTATATACATGTATGATCACACTACTGGAGTGACTGCACCATGTATAGCCAGAGGAWTGAGAAGTTGTGCTCCATTTGTATACTATAGGCAAAAATGCATTCTACTGTAAAATAAATAAAAACCAAAACAACAGCAAAAACCTTTGCTGATACTCCTGCCTAAATCTTCTCAGTCCCTCGGATTACATGTATATACCACCACAGTAGGATTTTTTTTTTTTTTTTCCTGGACAGGATCTCCTAAARTCCAAGAGGCTGGCCTCAAACATATAGATCCTCTTAACCTCAGCCTCTTGAATGGCTGGAATTACATGCATGTGTCATCTAACCCAGCTTTCACAGTATTAAGAATATACTAATTCCAGGGAGATACTATTTTTTTTTTTTTTGCAGTGTTTGGGAATTAAATCCAAGGTCTGGTGCATGATAGGCAAGTGTTCTATCACTGAGCTATATTCCCAGCCCCAAGAGTATTGCTTTTGACAAAACAGGAGGTGGGGATGCATTTCAATAATAGAACACTTACCTTGTATGCTCCAGGCCCTGGTTTTAGCCCCAGCATGGCCAAGAAAAAGAAAGAAAGTTAGGTTTTATTGTCAAAGAGATTTTTTGTTTGTTCAACAAATACAGGAAAAATAGCTAATACTTTATAGTGTTTACCATTGCAGGCATTAAWGTGCTATACAGTGAATGTTTTACCTCATTTCAATTTTCCTAACAACTCTGTGAGATACCAACTTATTGGTACTTCATTTCCAGAAGAGGAAAACAGGCATGAAGAGGTCATGTAGAGTACACAGCTAACAGGCTGGGGATATAGCTCGGTTGGTAGAGTGCTTGCTTTGCATGCACTAAGGCCCTRGTTTCAATCCCCAGCACTTCACCACACACACGTTACCCCCCACACACAGCTAATGAATAGAATAGTTGGAAATTGATCTAGGTAGACCAGCTAAATTGAGAGCTCTTGATGAAGTGTACTGGCTGCATAAATACATAACAACAAGTTCTGTTTCTGTCAGATGTGGGGAAGGTCCCCATGTTGTTGTGAAATTGGGGGGCGGGTAGGAAAGCTTAAGCAAGGAAGACTGATAGAAG